TTCAGACTAACCGGGAATCTATTTCAGGTGGTGCCCCGCTTTTAAAGCGGTTTTTGCATGATGAATAGAACCATAATGCATTTTTCCTAAGCGACTGCATAAATGCCAAAAAAGAGTAAAAACCTAAATGGTCCCACCTTTTTGAGATTAGTTTTGGATTTCATACGAGTTAGTGACGGTCGTGATGGTGAGGGTGTGGTTCACTAGGACAGAAAGCGACTTTTTCGCGTTTCGCAGCGCGAAACATTTCGCTGCGGGAACCTCAGGTCCACCGCTGATCATCAGTGGACCCGAAGGCCCGCAGCGAAAAATGTTTCGCGCTGCGAAACGCGAAAAAGTCGCTTTCTGTCCTAGGGAACCACATCCTAATGGTGATATGGCATCCACTATTAGTCGTGGGTACCTTTTCGCGATATCATGCAAATGTCAACTGAAAATGTAAAACCATCAAGAAAACCGTTTTGGAAAAGCGGGCACGACCTGAACGACCTTTCTTATAAGACACCGATTATACCGACTAATTGGAAAAGTCTCCTGAGAAGCAAATTTCTTTGAATCTGTCCACCTTGAATATTTCAGGTATGCGAATCGCGCAAAAAATATCAAAAACAAGCCGAAGATCAACGAAGATCCAAAGGATGCGCTACTGCGAGAGTACCAAGAAGAGAATCGAACGACTCAAAGCAATGCTTGCCCCAGGGGCCAACGGTGAGCTCTATTTTACGTTTGTATATTACGCGCAGTCATCTTCATTGAAGCGACTGATGGGAACTTTCGATCGCAATGGAGGGTACAGTTTACGGCCATCACCCTTATGCCCGCAGCACTCCGCCCCCAAAAGCGATCCGCCCACTAGTTTAGTTGGTGATTTGGACGAGCAGCGTTGCCAGCAGCGGCACAACTGGAGCAACTCGATTGGAGTGTGGTTTGGCATGGTGTTACCAAACGCGTTGCGCTGAACTCGTTCATACCCGCTTTCTGAGCTGTCACCTGTTCATGAGTGAAAACCAACGGCCAAAAAAGGGGTCCCTTTTGCATTTTTGACGGATTTCTCCGCTTTTTTCGCCACCGACGTACCATTGAGCACCACCACGTCTCCTATAAACCCTTCTCAAACCTATCGTAATCGCTTTCAATCGTCTACACCCATAGG